TGCCTTCACCAAATAACTTAAACTGCCTATTGATGTTGTTCCCAGCATCTTTAACACTTAAAGCAGCTGTTCTCACCTAAAGGCTAATGGTCTTAAACCAGTTTATTTTTTCTAGATATATTTCTTCAGCTGCTGCAAACATCATTTAATTAACATACCATAAGTAAATGACTTTCTTTGCCTGTCTAACAAATGAGCCACGGGCTCTTTTCTCTCATTTCTTTCTTTGAAGAAATTTTACTATGAAGGAGACATCAAAATTTTCTAACTTTTCACGTCAGGCTCTGGGCTGATGGCTCAGAGCCTGGAGCCTGTTTCCGATTCTGTGTCTCCCTCTCTCTCTGCCCCTCCCCCGTTCATGCTCTGTCTCTCTCTGTCCCAAAAATAAATAAACGTTGAAAAAAAATTAAAAAAAAAATTTCTAACTTTTCTGATTGATTCCTGTGGTTTGGGAATGTTGTGATGGCTGTTTAGTCTGGTGGGTAGACATATCTTGCATTCTTTAAGCACAGAGAATGGTTCACTGCAGAATAATCATAATATTTTGCCATCTAATTTGATAACAAAATAATCCACACTTAACCATACCTTAAAGATGGAATATTTTAAGTCTACATTTTTCTTTTTCTTTTTTTTTTAATATGATAGGTATATGTTGGTAATAAAACAAACCAATAAATTGTCACAGTATGGTAATAACGCATGGCACTTGAAATCGTGTCAGGTAAAAATGTGTTGTGGTGATTTGTAGTAGGTAATGGAAGTGATAAGAATGCCACATATGGTCTCAATCATGAGTTCTTTATTGTATGGTAAATGCAGCCATTAACAATAGGTAAATAAGTATGGCTTATTCCAAAAATATATTATTTATGGACACTGAAATTTGAATTAAATATAATTTTAGGTGTCATTAAATGTTATTCTTTTGATTTTTTCCAGTCACTTAAAATGTAAAAGCTAGGTGTGCAGTGTGCTCTCTCTCTTGCAAAATAAACTTAAAAAGAAAAGAAAATCCTATAATAATATTTGGACAGAGGAGCGGATTGCTCTGCCTTATTATTATAAAAAGGCTCAGTTGGAATTCTTTCCAGAGAGTCGGGCTGAACAAATAGTGAGTTCTCCCAGAGAGAGGAAACAAAACAGACAGGGGAACCAATCAATGATTGTCTCCACCATGCCCACTGTATGTAAACGGTTAGCTCACCATTCTTCAAAGCAACAAGATTTCAGGAAGGTGGACAGAAACAGTCTTATAAATTATAATAGATAAAATAATTGCTTCTAAATAAATGGAAGGGCCAAAACAATGAATATAGAGGAGTTAGCCATGTCAAGATGAGATACTAAAATTTTTATTTTTTCCACATGTAATAATCAGCTAATATCTGAGAAAAGAAACAGGTGGAAATATAAATAATTTCAAGAATAAAGCTACTGTGAGATATTTTTCAGGTGCCTTTAACTAATTAACTGGAAAGAAGTTGTTTCTTGTTTAAAAGAGTGATAAAGGGATTCTTGACATTTTAATTTCATTCATTCTCTTTTCCAAAAGAGAATGTTTCCAAATGGCAGTGGAATGTCTCTGTTTCCAAAAGGCAGTGGAATGTCTCTGTTTCCAAAAGGCAGTGGAACCTATAAAAGTGATTCATCATATTCCCAATTGAAAATTAAGTGAATGTGTAAATAAAAAGTTCCAAGTTTCATTTGTACTTGGAAGACTGCTTAAAAGCTCAAAAAGTTCATTTATAAGAGTGGTAGTTTTTACCCCCCCCCAACTTGATTCATGTTTTAAACTATTTTTTTCTTAACTTTGTTTATTTAGAGAGAGAGAATACCATGCAGGCTCTGCACTGTCAGCACAGAGCCTGACACGGGACTTGATCCCACGAACATGAGATCATGACCAGAGCTAATATCGGGAGTCAGACGCCGAATTGACTGAGCCACCCAGGTGTCCCTACTTTCTATTTTAAAATAGTGTAGCATATATCTGTTTATTTTTAAAAATATATTACTGTAGGGGCGCCAGGGTGGCTCAGTCAGTTAAGTGTCTGACTTTGGCTCAGGTTATGATCTCACAATTCCTGAGTTTCAGTCCCCTGTCAGGCTCTGTACTGACAGCTTGGAGCCTAGACCCTGCTTCAGATTCTGTGTCTCCTCTCTCTCTGCCCCTCCCCTGCTTACACTCTGCCCTGCTCTCTTACTTACAAATAAGTAAATTAATAAAAACATTAAAAAATAAAAGATATACTTGTAAAAATTTTAGAAAATGACAGGCAAGCTAGAGGCACCTGGGTAGCTCAATCAGTTGGGTGTCAGACTCTAGATTTCAACTCAGGTCATGATCCTGGGAGCATGGGATGAAGTCCTGTGTTGGGCTCTATGCTGAGTGTGGAGCCTGCTTAAGATTCTCTCTCTCCCTGGGCCTCTCTGCCCCTCTCCTCACCTGGTACTCTCTTTCAAAACAAAAACAAAAACCCACATGCAAGGGAAAAGTAATGTCTCCGTAATCTTCCTACCCAGAGAAGATCCTGTTAACGTGTTGGTTTGTTTCTTATCAATCTCTCACTTTTTTTAAAGTTTATTTTATTTTGAGAGACAGAAATAGAGAAGGGCAGAGAGAGAGAGCGAGAGAGAGAATCCCAAGCAGGCCCCTCACAGTCAGCACAGAGCCCAATTTAGGGTTCAATCTCTCCAACTGTGAGATCATGACCTGAGCCAAAATCAAGAGTCAGATGCTTAACAGACTGAGCCCCCAGGTGTCCCTCTTTTCAATCTCTTATATATCTAGACCCCTGCCTCCCATATTTTTTTTAAAACAAAAATGAGTATATACCGTACATAGATTTGGGACTGCTGTTTTCAAGAAATAGGTTTTGAAAATTTCCCTGTGGTCAAATTTTTGGTCATCTCATACCTTTTAACTTTTTTTTTTTTTTGCTTTTCTTCCTTTCCAGTTGAGAGAATAATATCAAGTAGAAATGAAGTATATTGATATGCTGAGGAATGCAAATATGTTAACTTTTTTCTTCTGAAATTATACTTTTAAAACTTTAAAATCACTAAGATTTTCATATTTAACTACAATACAAAATCTATAATACAGAAAGAATACAAATAATAATAATATCTTTAAAATAGAAACTCCCACCGGGCACCTGCCTGGTTCAGTTAATAGAACATGCAACTCTTAATCTCAGGGTCATGAGTTCAAATCCCATGTTGGGCATGGAGCCTACTTAAAATACAATTTTAAAAAAAGAAGAAGAAATAAAACTAGAGTAAAGAAAACGTTATGAAGAAAATCAGAAATTCCCTTTCATGCCTTCAAATGAAATTATAAATGTTTATTTTTGAGAGAGACAGAATGAGTGAGTGTGAGTGGGGGAGGGGCAGAGAGAGAGGAAGACACAGAATCCCAAGCAGGCACCAGAGGCTGTCAGCACAGAGTCTGATGCAGGGCTCAAACTCACGAGAACCATGAGATCATGACCTGAGCTGAAGTCGGACGCTTAGCCAACTGAGCCACCCAGGTGCCCCAATTTATTTATTTTTTTTTGAGAGAAAGAGAGTGCGAAAGCGGGGGTCGGGGGGGGGGGCAGAGAGAGAGAGATGGACAGAGGATCTGAAGCGGGCTCTGTGTGGACAGCAGAGAGCCCAATGTGGGGCCTGAACTCATAAACTGTGAGATCATGACCTAAGACAAAGGCAGATGCTTAACCAACTGAGCCACCCAGGTGCCCCTACATTTTATTTTTTTTTAAGTATACAGTATTTTTTAAAGTTTATTTATTTTATTTGAGAGAAAGAACAGGGAGGGAGAGAGAGAATCCCAAGCAGCCTCTGCACTGTCAGCACAGAGCCTAACACGGGGCTCAAACTCATAAACCATGAGATCATGACCTGAGCTGAAACCAAGAGTGGGTTACTTAACTGACTGAGCCGTCCAGGAGCCCCCACTCCTGAAAGTTTATTGCAATAGCAGAACCAGAGTTTTGTCTGTTTTATCTGACCCAGAATCTGGATGAAAGTATTCCTATTATAGAGTCAACTAAGTATAGTCATGGATTTTTAAAAGACTGGCTAGATGTTCCTGGGCACAGTCCCACATCCTAAGTGAACCAGCAACCCTTTAAAATCACACCACAGTAACTCTTTTGTGCTTCAGATACAGCTTGTACATCTAATTTATTTAACTAAATTGCCTCATCTTATATATAGGTTAAACCTTGCAAGCTCAAATCAAGTTGGAGGATTCTGCTGACCAACACTATGAACCTTTCAACAAAGGAGCATTTTTGGGGGGGGGGGGGTCAGGTCTAGGCCCCACAACACTTTCCTTTGTATCAGCACAGTGTACCTGATCTCTGCAAGGGCTGATAGCCCTGAGTCATCCCCTGCATCTGTAATGCAGCTGCCCAGTGCTACTGGCATTATCTAAGTAAAACCCCTATTAGCGTGTTAATCCCCTCCTCAAACACTTCCCTCTTGAAATTCAACTTTCAAGAGCCAACATAATGTGGCCTCACATACCTCCCACCATTCATTCCACTAATTTTCATTTGGCGTTTTTGAGTGAGGGATGGACAAAATGAACCTTGTGTTTTAGAAGGTTAAACTGCTCATGTAACAAGGATGAACTGAAGACTAGAATAGTGGCAGGAAGGAGACTGTTGTAATCGTGAATGGTAACCTTTAACAGAGTAGTTTCAGGAGAGCATTATATACAAGTTTAGATAACACAAATAGAGAAGAAACTGGAACAACGCTTGTGGGTAGTGCAATATATCTTCACAAAACAAAGGAGGCTTTCTCATTAGGATGAGAACTTATATTTGAAAAAAAAGTAAGTATAATAACTTTGAAGATTTAAAGCTTTAAAACTACAAACTCTTCTCAATAATTTAGGCTGGCTGGGTTTGAGGACCCAGAGGGGGTCCCGTAGGACCAGCCAATGCGATCCTTGGCTTTATACAAGGCGGAAATCAAACAGCAGCTGGGAGGAAGTGAAAGTAGCATTTATTGAAGATCTAGAGAGGGCAGATACAGACCAAGCATCTAGGAGACTCAGAAAGGAAAAGGAGAATGAGTCTCGTCTTTGCTTGGGGTCTGGAGTTTTTACTGAGGATGTTGGTCTGGTGTACATGTTCTGTCAGGCATCCAGGAACTGGTCAAAACAAGGGCAAGTGCTCAGGTGTCCTTCATGAGTCGTTTATGCCTTGGAGCCAGTGGTCCTGGTGTCAAGGTGTCTGGCGTCAGTGGTCTTAGAAAATGTTCATGATGACCTCGCTCCTTAGATGTTACTTTTGTGCTGGAAGATTCCAAAGAAATCATTAACTCCTTGACACGTACAAGGACATACATTACTGGTACTATAAGCCACGTATAGGGGAGCCATGTAGGTCCTAGCAAGAATATAAGGAAAAGGAGAAAAAAATGCAGGTTTTTTTTCATGGGGTTCCTTTAGTTCCCATATCATTACAAGAATTTTAACACTGTAAAGATTTTGAAAATGTGCTAATTTTTTTAATTAAAAAAATCTTTATGTGAAGGTTTAGGTGCATAAAAGTAAACATTTTCTTCTTTGGTTAGTAGTCATTGGCAGACTCTTATGGTCCTGCTCCCTTATCTGTGACTTATGACATGGAAAGAGGAACTGTCACTATGATATATCTATTCATGGAAAATCTAGAAATCCTGAATGAATATTAACATTCCTTATTATTATTTGTTATTATTTAATAAGTGTTACACACAATAACAAAACCCAAAGAGTGCAAAAAGTTATACACTGATAGGTTCATGTATTTTGTCTGTCCACTTGTCTGGAAGAAAGGCTGCAACCCTTTCAGATTATTGAAGTGGTTTGTAAATCTAAAAGAAGGTAAGAACCAAAGTTAAAGAATTTCAATAAGAAAATTCTTCAATAGGGGCGCCTGGTTGCCTCAGTCTGTTAAGTGTCTGAATCTTGATATTGATATCACTGTTCATGAGTTTGAGCCCCGAGGGCAGCTCTGGGCTGTCAGTGAGGAGACTGCTTGGGATTCATTCTCTCTGTCTCTCTCCCTCTTGCTCAACAAAACAAAACAAAACAAAACAAAACAAAACAAAACAAAACAATAACAACAAAACAAAACAAAAAACAACCAAAAACAAAAAACTTGCAAGAGGGAACTTTACTCCTCAGGTATCCTCTGGGCTACCAGGATCCCCCTCCCAAGTCATTACCCTGCTAAATTAGAGAGAACTATAAACACTTTCTCTCTCTCTGTGCCAGAGACTCCCCTCAATTCTCACGAGATATTTCGGGAACAAAAGTAGGAGACAGTATTCAGACTCACTTTGTTCTTACACCTATATGGTAAAATTGCACTTTCTAGGTAAGGCGTCTCTTGGTTAGAAGAGAAAGATTCCTAGTCTTAATTACCTCTTCAGAACTAGGAAATTTGTCTTCAGACTACATCAGTGGGAAATTGAGTGAAAAAAGGAGTTAAGGCAGGTGTAGTCACAGAGATAGGAGAACCCAGGAAGGAGGGAATGCTCACAGGATCAAGGGCCTGGAAATCTAAAAGTGTGAGTTACCAGATTTCCCCAAACACAAATGATCAGAGATTTTCTACAATGCTGTTCCAGCAAGAGGGGAGTTCATAATAAAGGTTGCAAGGGGAATGGAGGCATGTGTACTAGAAATTGAAGTTCCCTTTGTACCTTCTGTACTGCTATTAGGTTAGTTTTTCACTTCTTTTGAGAATAACCTCATTACCACCTACCCTCACCTGCAGCCTGTGCTAATGTCTTTCATGTACTTCTGAATCGTCTTAGAGTCTACACATCTTTTAAGCCCTAGCTCCGTTTCACTTCCTCCTTCAAGTCTTCTTTGAAGATTGTTGTTTCTGTCTTTCTCCATTTGCTGAGATCTTTCTGTGTTTATAGTTGCAATCATGGTAGTTATCAGGAAATAGTTATATCAAAGGTGTAAGCCTCCCGTAGCGTTGGGAAGTGTAATTCTTGAATTTGGAGACTATGTTGTAAACTTCTCTTGTATACTCCTTGGAAAAATCCTAGGTTCATACTTATTAAATATACACCCAGGTCTAAATTTCTGTTAAATATTCAAGAACCACTTAAAAATACTTTATAGAACTTTCTACCCCAGAATGCTTTAAATTTTCATATGAAATGTATCCATTTTGACTATCTCAACAAGATCTCCCAAGTCATTCTTATAGCAGAGTTGAAAACTTTCAACTTATTCAGAATTGTCAAAAGAAGGGGCAGCCACCTCTGCAGTGAGAGGACTTCTAACACTGAGCGCTCAAATTCGGTCTGCATTAAATAGCGACCTTATAATTATCTCAAGGGGAAAAGTGTCAAATTTCGGAGACACCTAGAAAAGGGAGTGAAACGATCATCTAACAATACAGTTGCTTATTTGTCAGAAAAGGGAGCTGACCCGAGTTTCTGAACACACTGCGGCTCAGACTCCAACCCGGGTTTTTCACCATTAGGTGCAGACCAGCCAATTGGGCCGTCTGGTTGCCGTGCATCCTGGGAGCTGTAGTTTCCGGCTGCTGCCTCCTGACTACAGGCTCCACCAAGCAGCTGGAGGACGGTTGCTTGGTATTATTAGCAAGCGGGAAGTATGGCGGTGGCGCGCGTCGACGCGGCTTTGCCTCCTGGAGATGGTAAGGCGATCCTCACCCTTGAGACCTAAGGTTTACTCCACGGAACTAAGTTAAATAGTTACCTGGTGGAGAGAAGAAGCCTGGGTTTAGGTGTGCAGTTCTGTACCAGTTCTTTCGATGCGGGACTGTGGGCGTCGCGGAGCCGCGCTCCCTTCTGGGAGTTGTAGTTCCTGAGTGTTGCCTAGTTCTGCGGATTTGCGGAAAGGGTCGACCTGGGGACTACATCCCCAGGGTCCTTCGCGTGGCCGGGCTCCCTGGCTCCCGCGCTTCTGAAGCTGCTTAGGTGGTAGATTTCGGGCTGCGGTGACCTTTCTTGGATGTTTACTTCGAATTTTGGATGCCCAAGTGAAAACTGCCGGATCTCCCTCTTTAGCTTTGCCTGTCTCCTTTTCCCCTAGCTTCCTATCACGTTTAAGAAACCGTCTTTCAACCACAGCTCCCTGACCGACGTTAAACCTTTTTTTGGAAGTGTCCGGTGGCTGTGATAAAATCTAGGGGGACCTAGAGTCCACAGTTCTACACCCCTTGTTCTGCAGACCAGGTCCTGGGATCGGGTTTGGTGGCCACCCAGCGGAGCGCAGGGTGTGGATGCTTCTGTGACCGGGAGTCGCCGGGCATGAGCCGAGCTCCTTTGTTTTGGTTACGGCTCCGAGGCTCCGCTGCAGCCTACTGGGTCGGGGGCTGGTCTAGTCCTCTCTCCAAAGCTTGGATCTGGGGGTCATTATCTGAGGGCCGTAACTTCTCGGAGTATATGTGTGGGGGGAAATCGATAGTTCCAAGGGGTCTGTCGACCCCGTGCAAAGACTACATTTTCATTGCACAGCACACAGCTTTCACCAAATTCTCAGAGAATCCCGTGACAACCCCGGGGGGGGGGGGGCCCCGCCCCCGCCAATGCTAGAATCCATTAGACAATGAAAAAACGTTGAAACCTTTCAGGAGAGCAATCTTGCATAATTATTTCCCACAGTAATCTTAATCTGGGTATAAATTTGAAATTGGCAGTTTCTGTGGCCCCACCCCTTTTTGATATCTGCTTCTCTTAAACTGCACCCCCCCCCCCCCCCAGCCCACCACGGGAACTACAGTGATAGCAGTAAACATTTAAGGAGTACTTTTTATGTGAGCCAGATGATGTTCTGAGGCTTTTTTTTTTAATATCTCATTTTCTCTGTAGAACAACATTGTAAGGCAAATATCATCCCCATGTTATAGAGTGGAAAAGTGAGCCCCAAAGAGATCAATAACCTGCCCAAGATAGCACAATGGTTAACCCCGGGGAAATAGGATTTGAAACGTCTGTGAAACTAAATTACTTTATTGGCTTCTGTGTGCCAGGAATGGGGCTAAGTTTTGTTTATATCATTTCTTTTTTTTATCCCCACCTCAATCAAGTGTATTGTTCTCAATTCATAGATAAATTAACTGAACTATGATTTTTAAAATAATCGGGGACTTTAGGATATACTGGTAATTAGGTTGCAAGCAGGTTGATCTCTATCAAAAGATTAGTTCCATTAAAAAAATGCAATCATTACTTAGCCACAAAATATGGGATAGTTCATATTTAAATGTGAAGCATTCCACAGCATTACATCATAGAAACTTGAGTAGAATATCACAGATTTTTAGGTGTAATTTTTGATATTTCTGAGAGAAAGTGAATAATTTCAATCTGTGGTCTTTTAGAACTCGATTGCTTTAGTTTTTAAATCTTGTAGAATATCACAGATTTTTAGGTGTAATTTTTGATATTTCTGAGAGAAAGTGAATAATTTCAATCTGTGGTCTTTTAGAACTCGATTGCTTTAGTTTTTAAATCTTGATATTTATTATGCCCTGGTGTTTTTTAACCTTAAATATAGAGATTTTATGAATATAATTCCATCCCTATGCTCAACCATTGTATTTGTGTTTTCTAACAATTTCTCTTCTATTTTCAAGGATCAGTGGTCAACTGGTCAGGACAGGGACTACAGAAATTAAGTCCAAACTTACCCTGTGAAGCTGATATTCATACTTTGATTCTGGATAAAAATCAAATTATTAAATTGGAAAATCTTGAGAAATGTAGACGATTAATACAGGTAGGTATTGCTCTCTGGGGAAATAGTTATATACAACCAGTTTATTATTATACAAAACAATAAAGTAACCTAACAAAAAAGTAACTATACAGGCCTGGAAAGCAGTAAATGTTACCTTAAATTTTTACGTGACAGTTTTCCTTGAAGATGAACATTTATTTATGTGCTGCATTTAAAATAGACTAGAAAAAGAAGCATTTGTTAAAAAAGGAAATATTTTATGTTGGCAAAGCATTGTGTTGCTAAGATAACCTTTTATGTTATGACGGAGGTAAAGAGTTCATTCATTCATTCTTTCAATTAATGTTTATTGGTCTCCCCTTATATATCTGGTACTGCTCTAGATTTTGCCAGACATTATAAGGACCTCATTCTTTTGGAGCTTATATTCTCAAGTAATGGCTCTGTTAAAAGTGTTTTCTTTTGAATAGTTGGAGAGGTTCTGATGGCTCAGTTTTATGTATATTCTCCATTGCTTAGGAACAACTTACAACAACAAGCACTGTAGAGTATTTAGACAAAATATGTGAAAAGTTCAAACTGGGTTTGTATATTTGGGAATATTTGGCCATGTAAACAAATCTTTTTAACCATTGTCATGTGAAAATAATATGCATGTTTTACTAAGAATAATGATATCTTTTCCTTTCCACAGTTGTCAGTGGCTAATAATCGGCTGGTGCAAATGATGGGTGTGGCCAAACTGACCCAACTCAGGGTGTTAAATTTGCCTCATAATAGCATTGGCTATGTGGAAGGGCTAAAGGATCTAGTACATTTGGAATGGCTGAATTTGGCAGGAAATAATCTCAAGGTGAATTGTTTTTTTTATTTTTTTAATGTTTATTTATTTTTGAGAGAGAGAGAGAGAGAGAGAGAGAGAGCCAGAGCATGAGCAGGGGAGGGGCTGAAAGGGAGAGGGAGACACAGACTCCGAAGCAGGCTCCAGGCTCTGAGCTGTCAGCACAGAGCCCTACACAGGGCTTGAACCCACGAACTGCGAGATCATGACCTGAGCCAAAGTCAGGCACCCAACGGACCAAGCCACCCAGGTGCCCCGAATTGTTTCTTTTTTTAATTTACAAAGGTATTCACTATAATAGTGAATACAGAAATAAATAGAATAAAACGTGAAAGTACCTACTCCCGCTTCCCAGGGGATCATTTCAGTTAACATAAACTGAAAAAATAATTTATTTTGAAACATGTAACACAGTCCCATAGTGTTTTCAATGTGGACAAAGAATCTATATTATACTTAGAAGAATAGATCAAACAGTAGAATGGAATGTTAGGAGGGAGACTGTATCATGCTGCATTAAGCTTTGAATAAACATTTAATAATATCGTAGAGAATATACTGTTTTAAAAGTAAAGAGAGGGTGTTGTATGCAAGTGATGAGTCACAGAATCAACCCCCAAAACCAAGAGCACACTGTATACACTGTATGTTAGCCAACTTGACAATAAATTATATTAAAAATAAATAAATGCAAAATAAAAGTCAAGAGATCTGGACTCTAGTCCTGCTTTCACCACTTAGTAGCTCTAAAATTTTGCTAAGTTAAAAATGTCTGTGTCCTATATTTTGATATGTTAGATGACGGACTCAATTAAATGATAGTAATAGCTGACTTATTGATCAGTTAATTAATGCTAGATGCTATTCTAAGCACCTTAACTGTCAACTCATTCAATGTCATGACAGCCTATGAAGTAGGTATGGTCATTATGTCCATTACATAAATGAGAAACTGAGATCCAGAGAGGTAAAGTAACTTGCTTAAGGTCACATAGCCAGGAAGTTACAGAGCCAGGATTTGAATCCATCCAGTTTAGTTCCACTCTTTACTTATAAACTCTATACTATACCAACTGTCATGTGTTATCACTAAGGTTTTTTCAAGCTATAAATATCTGGGATGACATGGTTCTACTCTCAGAGGGATAATGAGGGTGGAAGCTTGTTACATAAGAATTTACCAAATTCTATTATTACTGCCCCCTCTTTCTCTTGCTAAGCTCTCCTTCTCTGCTTACAATTGGAAGCAGAGGAGGCAGGACACTCAGCTACGAGGAACTAGGGAAGAATTTCATTTTTTGATTTTGTGTGATGCTTTTCTTGTGACAGGCCATAGAACAAATCAGTAGCTGCACAGCTCTACAGCACCTTGATTTATCAGACAATAACATACCCCAGATTGGTGATCTATCGAAATTGGTATCACTGAAGGTAAGTCTGTTTGCTATGTCATTTCTGAAATTTTATATTAATATACCAAAAGAAAGTGATCTGATTGGCCTAAAATCATCCTACTCTGTATGAAGAACAGATCGTAACTTCTGATAAAAATTCTATTAGAGTACCAGAAATGAAGTATGAAATACTCTGTTGTTAGTTTCTGTAATTGATTTATTTTAATTAAAACTGATCATTGTAGTTAAGGTTAATTCTTATTTGCCATCCTTTGAACATAATGAAGTCCCCTTTATGTCTAATCAGCCAACATTAGCAGCATAGCTATGTAATATGTAACATATTGGGCTGACATGTAATCATTCCTGAACTTGAATCTGTTTTTTGACACTCGGGATGGCTGTTTTTTGAGTAATAGTTATCACTAAGTTATCAAAAGTAACTTCACTTTAATTTAAAAAGTAAACCTGTAATATATAGCACTTTTTATGGAGGGGAATGAATTATGCAATCAAATAAGTAACAGTTGCAATTGAAGCTTCAAAAACATGTAGGCTTTTTCCATATTTTTGCATCGTTGGATATTATTAGCATTAGGTGAATTTGTTAAACCTTAGAAGCAGTGTTATTAACTCACCGTTCCCCATGTCTTGAGCATAAATCATTTTTAGCAGCAATTACTGTAAACAATCTGATGTGTCCATATACTAAGAGAATTCAAATGAACTAAGGATTTTTTTTTTTTTCCTGGAATGATTATTTTATCAGAACCCTGGGTATTCAAAGCCTTTAGTTATTCATTGTTGCTGACATAATTTGAATCAGCTTTATCTGCAAATAGCATGTTCTACCTTTCTTAAGCTTTTAGCTTTCAAGAGAATACAGTTGTAAATTGTGGGTTGTGGGTTACCTCTCTCTTTTGGAAAATTTGCTTTATGTGTGTTTTTTTTAAGTTTATTTATTTATTTTGAGAGAGAGTGTGCAAACAGAGGAGGGACAGAGAGAGAGAGGGAGAGAGTGAATCCCAAGCTCTCAGCGCAAAGCTCAACATGGGGCTGGATCTCACAAGCTGTGAGATCATGACCTGAGCCAAGATCAAGAGTCAG